TTTTCTGTCCCAAACAGCAAACTCCAAATATTTAAAGGACGTTTTCTCCTTATCTTAATACCTGGCAGCGAACTTCGTTTGTGTCGTGTTTCGGTCTCACCTATGAGCTATAATTTCCTCTAAATCAGGTCAACGGAATAATGAAAAGATTTATCATGCTTTATTCAGATTTGTGTGGCTAATGACATTTATTCTGCCGTCTCGGCTTCTAGTCAGAGCGTTATTCATCTAGCGTTGTTTGCATACACGTTTACCCGACTGTATTCCCCATTGACTAGAGCTTAAGCTATAGCTAACACAGCTTATTCTGCTGCACACAAAAATAGTGCTCTTTGTAGTTGTCAGTCTCAACGAGCCAATGAATCTCCTGGAACTCATCGCTTCTTCCTAACCGTGTGCTGGTCGACCAATCAGATGTTAGGTATAGATGGTTCATTCCTGGTCATGTGTCTTGAGGCAATCAGCATCGATAGCTTAGACCGTTTTTACCTGGTCGCGTATGTAAGTACAAGCAGTGCTGGAATGCAGAAAAGCGGGGAAAACTGGCATATCCCTGGTTGTATTAATCTGACTTTATGGTAGGTCAGAGGGTGGTCGCTCATAGAGACTAAAGGAGCCGCTATATATGCATAGTTTTTAACATCAATGGAACAAAATGATCTGTCAGTCCTTGCTTACTACTTTCTTGTTCTCTGATCGTGTTAGAGTGCATGGCAGTTCTTCAAACGCTATTGAATTCAAGGCAGCCCTACCTTAAATCCCGTAGTGTTCATCTCTTACTTCAGTCATTGTCCGTTACTTTCGTCGGCAGGATCAATGCCAAGGAAATATGGGTATTATAGCCACATACCGTTACAACGGGAATGAGAAAAAACAAACAGTCCACTTTCAACTCATAAAAAATTGCAAATCAGACCTTTCCACAGAAGTAAATTGCTCAGAGCAGATTCTGTGCATCTATAGGGGGTTGCTCCATGAACTACTGAAATTCGACTTTGCCATCAGTTCATTGTAAGGGTGCAAATTTTTATACAGGCAAGCCAGATATGTGCTGTTAGCATTGTTAAATCGAAAATTTTTCCGGCTGGTATACACTTGCGTTTATTTAATATTTTCTGGCTTCTACTTATTTATCAGTTTTCCTTTCTTTTTGGTTACGTGATAGACAACTTGACCAATACCGCATTTTACGGCGTATTGCACATGCCTTTACTTGTAGTTGCTTACAGATTAGGAGGTCATTTAAAAGAAAGGGAAGGAAAGATTGCAATGTCGGCCGTCCTTATGTTTGTACGATGAGGACATTCAAGTGGCTTTTTTCATAAGGTTAATGATGGGCGGCGTTGATCCCCATTTCTACGTAGTTTGAAAGACAGGATCGACAGCAGCTACGTGTGAGGCATGGTTTGTACTCTCCTGGTTTTTTCTCACAGAGTGGTACTCATTTATTAACTTTGGAAGGAAGCGTGGAGAGTGTCCGTGACAAGGGATCGAACCAGAGACCTCTAATTTCTCAGTTGGACTTTCTACTGACTTAGCAACCCTGATATTAAGCAAACTCTGGCAAATTCCTTGCTCAAGAGATTGTGTGATTAAGACAAAGGTTACCTTCATCCAGAATCGAAACAGAATCCTCCGTACTTCTATACCGACATTTTACCCAGTGTACCACCACGCCAGGAGGAGAAAACTTACGTATTCCACGACTAATGGCACTTGAATACCTGTAGTGTCAGGTGCGTCTGTTATCATGTTGTTCTCCTGAGACACCTCACCCTTACTGTAAACTGTTTCTCGTCATATGGTACTCATAAACATCAAGATACCATCATAGGTTAAAGTATGTCAGATGACGCACAACTGATTCAATACCAGATTTCTTCTTTGTCCTCACCCTTCTCACTTTTATCTTCATTTTTATTCTTCCTTAC